CCCCCCCGGGAGGGGGCGGTGGGGGCGCGCAGCCCGGCCGGGCGCCCCGCGTTACCTTGCCGCCGGCCCGCGCTGTCGGGGCGATGGAGCCGCGGCCCTGATGAGGTTTGATCGCCTCCGCGCCGCCCTACCCTTGTATGTGCGCGCAAAGCCCGTGCGTAACCAGCCCGGCGCCAATCCGCGGCCGCTCCCCGCCTGACTGACAGCCGCCCGGGCAATGGCAGCGCGGCCCCGGGCCCCCCCCCCCCCCCCCCCGCGCCGCTCCGCACCGCTCCGCGCTGCCCCGCGCACCGCTCCCAGCCCCTTACCCTCTCCCTTTCCCCTGCTCCGCGCCGCTCCCGCACCGCGCTGCCCCGCGGGCGACGGGACGCGGCGGTTCCCTAGGAGAGGAAGCGGGGCGGGTGGGGTGAGGGGGGAGTTGCGGCCCCGGAGGGCTCCAAACTTTGTGGGTTTCTTAAGAAAAAGAAGAGAAACCCGAGGGGACAGGCGCGGCGCGGGGCCGGGAGCGCTCAGCGGCGGTGTGCGCACCCCAACTCGCCGCCCGTCCGCGCTACAGCTGAACGCGAGCGCACCGCGCACAGCACCGCGCACCGCACCGCACCGCACCGCACGGCTTTCACTCCCCCCCGGCCCCCCGCCCCCCCCCCCTCCCTTTTTTTTTTTCTTTATTTCTCTCTTTTCCTCCTTCTTCCCCGGTTCCTCGGCGGCGGTTCCCCGAAGCCCGACGGCGACGACGACGAGGAAGAGGAAGGCCGCTTGGCGCTCCCTGCCCGGCTCCCCTCGATCCCCCCCCACCGCTTCGGGCCCCGCTGAAGTTTCCCCGCCCCGCGGTCGGGTCGGACCCGACCGACCAAACTTTGCCCCCCCTCTCCCTCCCCGGCAGCACACAGGAGGCGCTCGGTCCGGTAAGAAAGATTCGGCTTTTATTGAAAACGCTCTCTCCGTCTCTCGGCACTGTAATAAATAAACGGGGGCTCCGCGGGGCCCGGCGCAATAAATACGGCCCGGGGACAGCGGGGGGGCTGAGGGGGGGGGCGGGCCGGGGCCTGGAGGCCTTCCCCGTGGGGTCGGTGTTGTATCCTCGGGCCCCTGTAACCCTACAGCACGAACCCGGTGTTGCGCGGAGCTCCGGACGGGACCCGCCGGCTTCGGCCCGAGGGAATGGGAAGGCTGGGGGGAGAGTGTGTGTGTGTTTGTGTGTGTGTGTGTTGGGGGGGTTTGATTTGATTTGATTTTTTTGCAAAACACTTTTTTTTCTTTTTTTTTTTTTTTTTTTTTTCTCTTTATTTTTCTTTCTTTGCAGCCTCTCGTCAGCGTTTCGGCAGCGCAGGACGGGGCCGCCGCTCACTGCAGGACGCATTTCTCTTCCCGCTTGGCCATCTTGCCTTTGTTTTGCTCCAGGGTCCGCTCCAGGTGCTCGTCCTCCTCCTCGGCCCTGCGGAGACACCCGGGGGTGAGCGGGGGCACAGAGCCCGGCCCCCCCCGCCTCTCACTCACTGCTTCTCCTGCGCGTCCAGGTCCCGCACCAGCGCGTCCCGCTTGTTCACCAGCAGCACCAACTCGTCCAGCAGCAGCTGCTCCCTCCGCTTCTGCGCCTCCGTCTTCTGCCAGTCTGCGGGGCGGGACGACACGGTCACTACACGGCACGGCCCGGCGGGACGCAGCCCGACCCGATGCGGCACAGCCCGGCCCGGCTCTGCCCTACTGGGCACAGCCCGCAGCCTCTCCGCCACCCCGCCCGGCACAGCCCGCCGCCGCCCGCCTCGCCTTTTCATTCTTGTAACGACTTTTAGCGATTAGCCCCGTGATTTCTGTTCCCCGCGGGACTCCGCACCCGGAGCGTCTCCCCCCGAAGGGGCTCCGCAGCCGTTCGCCGTTCCCGTCCCGGCCGTGCCCCGGGGCTGCCGCTGTCACTCACCGCGCGGCCATCCCCGCCTCCCTCATTAGGAAGGTAAACAATGGGGAGGGAGGCGGCGGGGGGGTGAGGGGGAAGAGGGGGGACACCGCTCCGAAAAAAAAAAAAGAAAAAGGGGGGTGAAAACAGGCGAAAAAAGGGGGAAAAAGCCGCTCCCCGCTTTTCCCTGCGCGGGACACGAGGCCGCCTCGGGACGGGCGCGGCGAGCGCAGAAAACGGGGCGCAGCGCGGAGCGACCCCCGGGGGCAGCGCACCCCGCGTGGTACCGGCGCGGCTCCGCACGAGCTGTTCGCAACGTATTTTCTTTTTTCCTTTCCTTTTTGTTTGTTTTTTTTTTTTTTTTTTCGTTTCAGCTCCCCATTTTCAGCCGCAGTTACGGCTTTGCAAACGGCGAACATCGGGCGAATATTTCAGCGTCGGCCTCGCTCGGCCCTACTCTTTTTTCCTGCTAGGTCCCCTCTACGAGCTGCCCTTCTCGTTGCCCCGTGGGCTCAGCGACACCGCGTCAACGGAACGCAACGATTTGTCCCGTGCTCCCTGCGTCTGCCCATCCCCGGCAGATCAGACGTGCGGTGCGCCGCTTTTACTTCATTTCCCGCAAAAGGAGACCCATTTGTCCCCCTCTCGGGTGGCGAGTGGCAAAGAGAGGGGCCGGCGCCGAGCTGTAGGATCACATCCCCTATTGGAGCTCTCTTCAAGCTGGCTTCGCCCAACAGCGTCCCACCGGCAGCCCCTTGGGGTCCCTCCCTGCGGTGTCGGGGTGCCAGGCAGGCCCCCACCTGCTGTGCTCGAAGGCCCTCGGTGCTGGAAGGGCTGAGCCCCACGCAGCCGTGGGACGAAGCTGCAGGGCCAGCTCCACGCTCAGTGCTGAGAGCCGTGGGCACCGCGCGGGCTGCAGTGACGGAGTTTGTGAAACTCGCAGTGGAGGAGAAACGCTTTCAGTTCTTCGCTGACTTCGCGTTGCCTTTTTTCCCCCCGCTGCTCGCAGTGATGTAATTACTTGGGGCAAACGGGCGGCCGGTTCCCATAGAAATGCTTTAGTGGAAGCGGGCTAAAGTTCTTGCGGGAAAACCCGCAGCCCCGGCGCCGCAATAACGAAGCCGGGCACTTTGATGGAAATTAACGGGAGTTTTGTAAGGAGCGCGTTGGGGGATGGCAGGCAGCCCTTATCTGCGGTTCCAGTCAACTAGCAATCCTGAAAGAGTTTGCATCATCATCAGAGCAGCCCGTTTGATAGGATTCTGTGCTGCGCCTAATCAATCTATGGGATACCGGGCTGTGCGGTGTAACAAAGCTAAAATAGATTTACAAATGGGGTTTTAGAGGATAAGCTCCTCCACAGGATTACATATTGATTTTAAATATAAAAAGCTTATCATATAAACCATAACTACAAAAATAGTGAACCTATGCATAAATCCTTTTAGAAGAGCACCCACTTCAAACTGGAAGCCAGGAATAAATCAAGATGTACAAAACGCTAAAGAAGATCCATTTCTTGGGCAGAAAACGAACACCCCCCTCCCAAGGTGTGCAAAAACGAACTTATCTCTCCTAAGGAGGCATTAAATCTTGAAATAAGGAAGGAAAAGAAAGAAGGGAAAGGGGGTGGAGGCGGCACTGGGGCCGTGCGGTGCAGAAGGATGGCCCCGCGTCCCCGGCCCCGTGTGGGCAGCAGCACGTTGCCGAGATGCCGGGCAGCGGCGAGCTGCTCTCTGCTCTCTGCTCCCCTTCCCATCTCTGCAGCTCAGGGAGGCGGATAAAAAGTCCGGCTTTTGTTTGGCGCTCTCCTGTTTCGTAGCAGCGCTGCAGCCGCTCGCGCACCCCGCGGCCCCGTCCCGCAGCCGGCTCTGCCCGCAGCCTTCCTCGCCGTGAGCAGCGGGGCGAACTGCCTGCGGGACACATCAGCAGCACGGCCACGCGTGGAAGTTACAGCGATTCGCCCCAGCAGCAATCGCCATCTCTCAAGGAGTTCTTTGGATTCATTTTTTACTTTCCAACCCGGGTCGGCGTTCTGCCTCACAACCCCATCTTTGAGACACACGGCCCGGTTGGCCCTGGGCTGCGTTTTGCTTTCTCTTTGGCATTTTGCTGTCCTTTTGTTAGGAGGACTTCTCCTTCTGTGGGCTTTGAGGTAGAAGCAGAGCGCTGCCAAAACTTCTGATGGGGTAACAATTTCCTTTATGGTGCAAAACGCTCAGCACAGACTTTGTTGCATAAATAAAAATAATAAGCAAAATTTCCAGCGCACCTCCGTTTATTCCCAAAGCCCCTGTTTACCCTATCATCAATAGTGGGGGAAAAAAAGAAAGAAAGAAAGAAAAAAAGAAAAAGGAAAAATAAAAAAAAAAAAGACAAAACCTTGCTGGGTTTCAGCATCGCGCTCTGAACTTGCAGAAAAGAAATGTAAAGAAGACAGATGTCCCAGTCAGTGTGAGCAGCACAGGGCTGCTCTGCCATCCCCAGACAGAAACACATGGGTGAGGCCACCGAGCATTTAGATTTAAGGTTTGAAGCACAGTATCTCTCACGTCCTCCTTGGTTTTAGAGCGTTCCACGTACTGACTGTTGCAGTGGTATGATTCCCTGCTAATCCGGCTGTCTCTGCAGCAAGCTGTGTGTACATTCCTGACCCAAGTTTACCCAAGGATATGGTGCAGGCAGCCTTATGCAGAAACACAACCACAGATGGACAGATAGGAAAAGCTACCTGCAACCTGCTGCTTTCCTGCTCCAAACTTACGCTGCCAGTGAAGTCTCCAAACTAATTAGAATCGATTTATTATGGATCAGGTACCTTATCAGGTGAAGAAAGAAATTACCATGGACAGTCAAAGGGTTAAGAGGTCAATACCGAATAGCAAAATCAATTTGCATTGATCAGACAAAAGGTCCATTTTGCAGAGCCCAAAGGATTAACTTTTAAGCAAACAGCTTTGAACTATACGACAGCATTTGTGACTGAGAGCTATAAGCAGCACAGCATTATAAAACACTTAAGATATTTAAATAAGAAAATAATGCAGGCAGTGGGTTAAGCTATCTGGATGTTTATTTTTTATTATGAATCATCCCTAGGATTATTGTACAATTCACTCCAAAGCCCTGTGAAAAGTTTGGGCTGTTTCCCTGATCCCGCGTGTCAATCTGCCCCTGGGCCTCGTTCAGGTGAGGTGACTGAGCACGGGGAGTGCAGAGAACGGAGAAAACGGGTGTGTGGTTCTGCCCTGATCCCAGTGTCTCCCCAACCAAGTGTTTGCTTGGCAAACGCACCGCTTTGCCATGAAAAGGAGGCCCTTTTTCCCAGCAAGGTGCTGGCGCGAGACCCACCCGCAGGGCAGAAGGCAGAGCTCCCTCCAGCAGCTCGCCCCGTCCAGTCTCTGAGGCCAGAAGCAGCGCAACGCTGCTCCAAAATCAGCCCTGCACCTCCTTAGTGCTTTCACCTACACATATGCCAAGGCTTGGTGCCCCATATTTTTATTTTTCCTGTCTGAACCTTGCACATGGCACCGAGGCCCGGTGCACCCGCTGCGTGCCATTACCAGCAGCACAGCCAATGCTTACCTTCGATAGCCAGCATGGCGCGCAGCTCCCGGTTCAGCAGCTCGTAGCGCCGCTCCAGGTCGTGCTCTTTTTCCCTAGGCGAGTTGCAAAAGTTCATCAATATGTTAATTACTAAATCATTAAACACTTAAAAGAACCTTTAACTTGCATTGATTTTAGGACTGGCGACCGACTTTTCTCTGAAAGTTTAAGCTACTCCAAAGAAGTGATACACAAACTTAAAACCCCGCACGATGGCTAACGGGGCCTTTAATGCTCTCTGTTGTACTGAAGGAAACAGTTATTTCACATCCATCCTCAGAGCTGCTGCTGTGGAATGTCCCAAACGTAAAACATTTCCCCAGATCTAATGAGCAGATTCCAGCATCGGCCTATTCACCGAGATAACACCGGCAGTATCATCCTATATACATTTTGCCCTAATGAATAATGAAAATTAGACCCGGGATTAGAAAAGCTGGATGTTTGGAGGTGGAATCTCCTGTGCACGGCAGCACGCTAGGTGGCACACCGCAGGAGCTGAGCTGCAGGGAGCAGAGCTGCACCCAGCGCTGCCTCTCCCTGCTGGGAAAAGCTTCCTTCAGCCAGGGCACGGCGCGGAGCCACCCGCCCGCTTCTGAAATGTAACCTGATTCTACTGTAGGGCCTTTGGAAATGTACCTACGCCTCGTGTTTCATATTTTTTCACAGCTCTGGTTAATCTCATGTCATTGCACGCTCTGCACTGTCAGGTCTGAAATATGAGGAAAACAAGTTCCCCGATGCGCTGCGCAGATCGCCTGTGTTCCTCGTTCTTGAGGAAACATTAAAATCCAATGGCAAGAAAGCAAAGAAGTTTTGCGCCTGTCTGCTGTGTAAATATTCAGGTAAATTGGCCTTCTGGACTTATGTGTGTCCATCTGTACTTACAGGAGGGAAAGCTGGTTCATCCGTCTTATCAAGGCGTTCTTCTTGTTAACCAGCATGAACCACTCCTGCATCATAGCTTCCTCCTCTTCCGTGTTTCTTCCTGCAATAGAAAGTGCTTCTTTACTTGGGTGGCACTGCACAAGTTAAGCTGTGTATTTCAGTTCAGTTGTTGGAGGATCCACCTCCCCTATCACACAGCATCACAAGGCAGAGTCCCCGTGGTACAACTATCACAGCACTGCACTATAGGAGTCCTGAAGTCCAAAGCTGTTAGCTTCATAAATAGAATTTTGATAGCAGACATTTTTCATCGTATATTTTAAGTCTACTTCTGAAGTAAACTATATCATCGCTATGTTCCCAATGAAAAAAATAATCCTGCTGCACCCAAACCCATTGTGGTGGGCAGGACCACCAGGCAAGCCCAGTACAGCCAGGATCACAGGCCATCGGGGCACACTGGGAGAGGCATGCAGCACCTCAAGGGCCCTGAATGTGCCATCTGAGGGCACTGGTGCAAGGGAAGGAGCAGGAAGCAGCAGCAGGGCACTGCCGGTGGGTGGCTGCTCCTAGGGTATGTGCCTTGCTGCACAGCTGCTCTCCCCCTGGACCTTTGCTGCTGGTTTTGTGCAGAAAAAATCACGCCACGTTTGCACGGCACTGACGATGATATTCAGCAGTTGTGCACTGCCCCAAAGAGGATTAAGACTCATGGGTAGAGTTTGCTGCTAAGTTACAGATCAAAGGTACTGCTGGATCGGGCCCACTAATGGGGTCTGCAGTTAGGAGCAGTGACAGTTGGCAGTGGCAATGCACCCAGCAGCCCTCATTTATATGGGGGTGCCAACGCAGAGGGAAGGATTGCTTTTGCCTGCTCCGGGATCATCACGCAGCGAGTGAACAGAAGTTCTCACAGCCACAAATACGTGGCCCTAGGAACACTCAGGTCAACTTCTGGCACTAATTTCACATTGAGCAACCTCAGGGCGAGCACCTAAACCTGAGATGGAACTTCTTTCCCTTACTGTGTCCCCCCAGACAGAGTTGGCAGCGGTGCACAAGGAGGGAAGCCGCAGGTCAGCGCTCCCAAGGGTGTTATTACGGTGATCCTGTGCTGACACCGAAGGCCGCAGAACGTGCTCCGGCTGGGCTGGTTTAAAGAGAGTTAACAAAGTCGGTATTGTTTTACCGAATTTTTAATCTTTTCGGTAGCTGTTTTTGTATTCACTTCGGACCATGTGATGCCCTGACGCCAGTCATGTGATAGCGGCTGCGATAGGCACAAATCCCCGGGCAGCAACAAAAGAAGAAAGAAGAAAAAAGAAAAAGCTGAGAAAAAGCTTGCCATTTGGAAAAAGGCCAATTGTACCCCGGTGAAGGCCTTTTTGATCAGCAAAATGACACATGTGTGCAATATTAATAGCGCTAGATGGTGATATTTTATTTGTTGACCACGAGCTTTTAAATTCTTGTGCAGGGGGCTGAAACAGATTCTTCCCAGGCAAGCAAAATAAAAGATGAGCCACCAGACATATAATTTTTAAATAACTCTTTTCAGTACGTCCGGTGCCATGCGCTAATTTGCTTTTTTTTTTTTTTTTTTTCCTCCTTTGGTGGAAACACTTTTGGCCGAGAAAAACCAAGTGCTCCTTCGACAGCAGCCCTGCGAGCTGAAACCACGTTGGCAGTGCCTGAACAAAATGCACCGAGCCTCTCACCGCTCTCCCCGGGCTCAGCACACATCCGCCCTGCAGAACCCCACTGCCTCGCTGCTCGCATTCGTGGCCGCTTTCCGAGTGTGAAACGAGTGTTTCGTTCCCTCTCTGCAAAGGTCTAAAAATTAAAATGGGAGTAATATCTGTGCTGGGCTCTGAAAAAACCAACCCACTGTACAGATTATTTAAATGAAGCGGGAAACGTGTTGGAGAACGGATCGATACCGCGCATGCAAAGCCCTTATCTGCGCCAGGGCAGGGATGGGAATCTATCTCTCGCCCACAGATCTTAAACTTACATTTCCTCCCATAATACACGCACTACACCATTGTTTTGGATAAACAACAACAACAACAACAAAACCCTTTTAGAGCTACTAAGTTGGACCATTACAAATTAATCCTGACTTTAATAACTGGTTAAAGACCCCTTCAGCTTTATAAGTAACAAAAAATATTAAAGCCTGTGATCACAGCCAGCTTTTCTCATTTCTCCTCTCACCATTTGTTATTTAATCCAATACTAGTAATCCAATTTGTCCATCAGACTTTTAAAGGGCAGAATGCAACTTCCCCAGCTTAGACACTTTTCAAAGTACAATATATTTTTCAAATGAATGCTGGATGTTTCATTTTTTCCCCAACTGTTCCTAGCTCTAATGTATGAGGAAAAAAAGAACAAGATGAACATTGTTCGCGCTGATTAAGTAAGAGCTCATTAAAGAGCTGTCAGTGCCGTACTTTGAATATGCATGAAGCATATAATCAGATCTAGTACCGTCACTAGAGGAGAATACGGTAAGTACAAAGGATTGATTTAATTACTTAGAGTGGGCTGTGGTGGTGAAGCAGCCTTGTTAGTGGCAGAGAAAGGAGGCTGTATTCCAGCACGGCCAGGGGAAGGAGGCAGAGTGAGCTTCTGCCACAATACCTCACCTCGGGATAAAGCACTTTACACCGCAGCTCAAAACGAAGACTGTCAGCTCGCTGAAAAGGCCCGAACTCATCTCACCGTGTTTAACTTCACCTGGTTAACTACCAGGCAGAGCTATTTATTCTCTTTCGTGCTGATTATGGCTCTACATTTCACCCCGCAGCTCAGCGCTGACTTCTGAGTGCGGCCTCGGAGCTCAGCGCACAGGAGGAACGCCGAGCCAGAACCGAAGGGAGCCGTAAGCTCGGCACATCTCTGTGTAAGCACCCAGCACAGCCCTCCGTGTCGTGCTTGCTTACTACAGATGCTCTGAGGCCAGAGCCGACAAGGTTTAGCTCATTTATTTTCTCTTTTTCCTCTCCTCCTTCCGTTTCCCAACCGATACACTCTGCTTCTATCCTTCTGCTAGGAAATGAAGGGGGTTCTCTCCACGCCATTTTCTGATCAGACTGTCCGGCTGGAGTGCTGAGGGATGCCTGCTCCTCTCTCCCCCTCACCTGTCATCCCCCAGACCCCTCCTCGGCCACCAGGGTAGCCCAGGACACCAGACTCTGCCCTCGGACACCAGAAACTCCACCAGCTCGTGCGCTGTGCGTCTGGCAGGCGCATCTCCCACACAGGGCTCAGGCAAGGCTGCAGCGTAAAGTTTGATGCTGTTGTCCTAGGAAGCCACGATTTGAATAACAGTCGAAAGACAAAACAACCAAACAACCAAACAACCACTAAAAAACAGCTCCCCTCCCCGCTCCAACTTTATTTCCTCCCATGGTTCATCACACACATTCTAACAGTATTTCCATGACTGTTATTCAGGAATAACTTGAGCCAATTTTCACCTTCAACGCTCAAGAATTACAAGCATGCGTGTATGTTGCCGTTTTTTGGAGAACAATACAAGGGGCTGCCTTATTTTCACGTTGCACAGCCTCCAGGCAGGCTTTATAAAATACTTTTTCCTTCACTTTCTTTGGGATTTACAAATGGATTTTTGTTTGAATTGCAAGCTAATTATTTGTTCAATATTTAAATAAGGAGCATTTTGACAAATGCCTGTTCTGAACCAATTTCAAAGAGCAAACTGCTTTTTTTTCCCCCTTTCTTTCCTGCTGAAAATACTTTTAACACACCCTTACCATCAGCAGGCGACTGGGATGTATATGTGCCATTAGATCCATTATTTTAAAGCCTTTTGGGCAGCCAGTCACTAGATAAACCAAATATGGATTAACATAGTGAAACTGTACATCGCTAAGAAAACAGAGACTAAAGTGCTACAAAACACCCTGAGTACCACTTAAAGAGGAGAAAAAGTAGCAACATGCATGGACAGGATGGGTCTGCAGTGCAAATGGATGAACACAGCAACTCCTCTACATGATACACTGTTGTAAATCTGTCAAGATAAGCCAATAGATTCATACTTAAAAAAAAATCCTCACGTGTAAATGTATTTAGCCGTTGTGCAAAAATGAATTACAACCTACAGCAGATACATAATAAAGGCTTTCTATCAGCATCCCCTACCAGCCCATTTGGTCTGGCAAGAAATAACAGGTTCACAGAAATCACTTTGCATGCTGTCTCAAGCAGTAATCGTTTTCAAATTTTATTTGCACTGCGTATAGTGTGCTCCATGGTGTCATGTTAAACACAGAAAGCTCCCCATCTCCCCATTTACCTCAGCAGAACTACACGAAAAACAACCTACTTAAGACAGAGCCCATTCTTCACCCATTTGCTGCTGTTTACCCACAGTTTTAAAGCAGAATAGAAGCAGCTTTCTTCCCTCGGCGCACTTGGGTGAAGAGGGCAGCAGCAGGATGCCAGCCGTGGGAGCAGGAGCGAGGCGAATAATGACCGGAATTGGCAACTTCGACCCGTTCCTCTGCTCTGAGAGCTGTGCTGTTTGCTGTCTGACAGCAGCAAGGTGACCACCGTGGGCTGTCCGAACGCTGGCAAATTCCACAAATTCTGGAAGCATACAGCACTGTGTTTGTTTGCCTGCTGAAAACCAATCAGGCTGCATTCGGGCAATTAGGGGGACAGGTTTTTACGAGTTTCTGTACTAGGAGCTACCGGACAGATTGGCTTGGTTACCTGAAGGAGAACATGAACAGCAAATAAAGGAATAGTTTGAGGATGTGCCTCGTCTTGTCTCATAGGAACCTGAGGAAATGCACTGAAATTGAAGGCGGTGTGTTCACAACCGATAAAAGAACTCTCTGTGCCCAAAGCCTCGGCGCTTACCATTGAATGCGTTGCCACAAGGCGATGTTGAAACTAAGAGCTCAGCAAGAATTAAAAGCGGGCTGAATGTTGAACGGGGGAAGGCAAGGCTGTACCAATAAATACTCTGACAAACAAACAGCAAACACAGGAGTGAGGAATCCTCCCTGCTGTAGGACAGGGGCTAGCTTCCTTCAAGAGTGGAAAAACTTCGGTGGAAAAACT